GAGTTGAAGTCCACAAGTCTTAAAGTTGCCAAGGTTGGAGACCCCTGTTGTAGACTATATATTTCCCAGGAAAATGATGTTACTAGTGGCAAAGCCTAACAATGGCCCCGAGGTTGGGCACTCTTAAATGGAGCAGGGGTGCTAAGAATCTCCCAGTCCGCTAGAAGCATGATAAACCCAAAACTATTGAAGGCAAACAAGGTCCAGGCAGAACATCATGGCTTCAAAATCTAAGAGGCTGGTTTGGAGAAAACTTGGCAGCATTTTTCATGTGGCTGTTGATAAAAATAGGATCACCAATTTCTGATGATGGATATGGCACAAGAAGACACTTACTTTGCCTTGATTTTTATAAATAAGTCAAGGTGGCAAACATACCTAATCCTTTCCTCCTATTTTCTCCCCAAACCTTTGAGCTGGGTTGGGCTGAGGGGTGTCTGTGTGAGAGAGACTAGCCCAGTCACCCTGCTGGCCAAGTGCCTAAAGTGGGCCTAGAACTCTTACCTGGTGAATGACTCAGTCACCCAGCTGGCTTTGTGCCTAAGGCAGGACTAGACCTCACAGTCTCTTGGTGATTGGCCCAAAGTCACTTAGCCTGTTTTCATGGCTAAGAGGGGACTAGAACTCACAGTCTCCTGGTGATTGGCCCACAGTCACCCAGCCAGATTTCATGCTTAAAGCAGGACTAGAACTCACCACCTCCTGGTGTCTAGCCTGAATCCTTAACTACTAAACCACATGACTTCTCCATTCAACGATTCAACGGTCTTTGGCACTGAAAGTCACCAAGAACTCAAGGGGGACTAAGAAGTTGCAGCAGCACCACCCTCCATTTTAAATGGCTGATTTCAGTTTTCCATGTCTAGTTTTAAACGTTATTTTTACATACGTGCAAAACCCTTTTCAAATGGCTAATTCAGTTTAGAGGCATCCAGTTCAGAAAGGGATCCTAGGTTCATGAACAGGATTTTTTTTTTACTCCAGGCTCAGAACTGACATTATTTGATGTCCAAATTCTTCTCCAGCAGGGAATTAACAGCCTCCAAAATAAACAAACCGGAATTCAATAAAAACAAGCATCTTTGGCTTGTCGTGGTGCTGCTTTTCATGCACTTTGTATCTTTCGATAGAAACCAAGACTCGGTGACCTGTTCAGACAAATGTTGAGGAAATAAATTTGTCCCCCACGATTTAATCTCGAGTTCACAAGAATTCACCACAGACGCTAGCAGTTTAAAAGGCTGCTCAGATCTTTTTATTAGTTCCCATTCAACAAGTACAAAACGAAAGAAAAACGCGCTATCAAGGCGGCAGTGTGGAAAAAAAAGACGTAGTTGTGTTGATCCCCAAGTGAGTAGAAAAGAATGGTGCGTGTGGAATATATATATATATATATATTTATAGTTGTCGTTTTCATTTTTATAAAAACCCTACGTCTAAATTAATTGTACTCAGAAGCAGCCTAAACTAGTCTACAGGGAAGGGGAGTGGAAAATGGGCCGGAGCCCCTTAGCGGTCAAATCGGAAGCGTCAGCTGTTGAACGCCGGCCTTCCTCATGCTGTGGGAGCCGGGCTGGTCTTGCTGGGTTCGCTGGCGTGACGCTTCCTCATGACTTCCTGGGCCAGGTCACAGGTGATCAAGCCATTGGCTACCTGGAAGGTTCCTGAGCTGTAAAAAGAGCCCAGGTAAGAGCATGTTACTTTTCAGATACGTACTGCTTACATTACAACTCCGTTCTGCCATGTTGTTCTGACAAATCCTCTGGCGTGAACTCAAAAGATTCCTTTATTAGGAATGCCATGGCAAAAAGTTTCTCTTGCAGGCTAACAAGTCCAGCTGGCCGGAAGGTGATGTTACACTTATGCCACACTTATTCATCTCCGCCCCCTGCCTTTTATCCCCAGAGCTAGGGTGGGGCCTTGCTAGGAGCGGTGGCTCTTCCTTCCCAAGGATCGGCTCATAGAATTCCACTGCTCTCCTCTCCTCGCATTCCGGCAAAGTTTCTCTCACAAGCTAACAAGTGTATCCAGCTGGAAGGTGAAGAGTTGTCTGCCACACCTATTCATCTCCGCCCCCTGCCTTTTATCCCCAGAGCTAGGGTGGGGCTTTGCTAGCAGCGGTGGCTCTTCTGTCCCGAGGACCGGCCTATAGATTTCCACTGCTCTCCTCTCCTCTGTGCGTCAGGCACTGGACTCAGCTGTTCCTCCTCTTCCTCATCAGCTACCTCCAGACCTGGGGGGCTGTTGACTCTCCACCTGAGGGCTGACGGACGGCCCAGGCTCTGTCTGTCTCTCTGTGTCTCTCTGTGTCTCTCTCTCTCTCTGTCTCTCTCTCTCTCTCTCTCTGCCAGCTCCATTCCTTCTTCTCCCTCGGAGCTCACAGGTTGCCCTGATGTTGACCCTGACTCCCATGTCTCCTCCTCTTCCTCCTCTGATTTGGCTGCTGGTGGGGCCGGCAGCTGACAGGCCGCAACACATGTTCACCCCACTCATACGTTAAAATTATCCCACCCAAGGTAGTCCTTGACTTACGATCACAGTTGGGGCTGGAATTTCTGTTGTTAAGTCATTGCGGTAGTATATTATTTTATGATGAACATTATGCAAACCATCATGGTCATTAAATGAACCTGTGGTCGTTAAGCACAAAACCACAAGACCATTCTTCTGAATGGAACTTTTTTTTTTTGCTAGAAACCATCAAAAATGGTTGCAAATCGTAATTGCTCAAACACAGGACAGCACAGTTGGTCGTAAATGCAAGCTAATTGCAATCGTGTGAACTTCAGGAGGTGTTACAAAGGTTGTAAGTGGGAGGACTGTACCCTTTTTCAGCATCGTTTGTAGTTTCAAATGACTGCAAAATTAATGGTTATAAGTCAAGGACTACCTGTAAAGCCCTCCTCCAAGCCACGCCCCATCACCAGAGGACTGAGGAATTCTGGGAGTTGAAGCCCACCCCTTTTAAAGTTGTCAAGGTTGACAAACTCTGGTCTAATCCCAGCTCACTTACTTCTCTGGAGATTCCGACACAGTTGTCATCACTGGATGGGTGTGTTTTCCAAAGAAAAAACTAGCCCACCAATGTCCAGGATCAGACTTGGGAAGTCCTACAAGGAAGGACAAAACGAAGCAAAAACCAGTTATTAGAAACAGGAAAGCGGTTGAGCTTAGAGACCACTTTGTCTTATCAAATATTTAATTTAATTTATAGCCTTCCGTTCCTCTAGAACAGGGCTCTCCAACAAAGGGTCAACTTTTAAGACTTGTGGACTTCAACTCCCAGAATTCCTCAGTCAGCCATGTTGGCTGGGGAATTCTGGGAGTTGAAGTCCACAAGTCATAAAGTTGCCACGGTTGGAGACCCCTAATTTAGAAACTCAAGGTGGCCCAGAAAGTTCTCCTACTGTTCTTACCACCTCATCCTGTTAGGATAACACTGGTTTGACAGAGACACAAAATTACTCAAAGTGCACTACTTCCTGCACTAAGAATGGATTTACAATGGGTCTTCTTGGTTCTAGATTGCAGGTAGTCCTCAACTTACGACTGGTTGCTTAAACAGCTGTTCAAACGTACAACGGATTGCCAAAAAGTATTTACAACCCGGTTCCAAAGTCCTGACAGCTGCCTGCAATTTTGTGACTGTATTTTGGATGCTCAGAAACCAGCCCACATTTACCCTTTACTTGACTTTATTTACATAGCAGAAGCCAGTTTTTATTTCTAGGTTTTGGTAAAGATGACCGTTCGTGAACAAAGGGTTCAATTCATGACCTGAGGTTTGCTTAAGGACTGCCACAAAAAGGATCGTACAATCAAGTCTGATCATGTGACAACGGGCTTTACCAATCATTACTGGAGGACTCTATTATGGTTGCAAAGTGAGGACTATCTTTCTATACTCTTCCTTTTGACTAGAGTGAACATGCAGGAGGAAAAGAGGTGAGTGCAGAATGTAATATTTCTACAGCACGTCGGGCTTCGGTTTAATTTAGAGAAGGCCAGCCAGCAAAATCTCTGCCAGCAAGATTATTTGCTTATGCTCAAACTTTCTTAGATCCATCCTTCTTGCCTTAGATAACCCCAAGTGAAAGAACTGAAGGTATTTTGAATTATTTACTCTCCTGCCAATCAATGTTAATCACACAAGGACATTTCCATTTTCTTCTTTAGCAAAAGAAAGGGGTAAACATAAGAGTCAGCACCATAAGATCGCTGATGGATGTAATGTTTTAGCCAAAGAAGGGCTGAGACCAACTCATCAGTTGCACCCAAATGGCAGGAAGTCAATTTTGCATCTGCTTTGAATTTGGCTAGAATTTCCTTCCTCTTCAACCTGAACCAAATTAAAGATGTGCAAAGAAAGCAGAAAAATTAGGTGGATTTACTTCCCCCCAAATTCTCCTATTTCTATGGGAAAGGACATGCCAGCCAACATTTTTTTCTTTTTATGACTCCATAGTCCAAGGGTCTTCAAACTTGGCAAGTTTAAGACTTATGGACTTCAACTCCCATAATTCCTGAGCTAACATGACTGGAGAAGGAATTCTGGGAGTTGAAGTCCACAAGTCCTTAAAGCTGTCCAGTTTGAAGACCTCTGGACTTTAGATCATAGATACACCAGGGGCTCCACCATAACTTTGAATGGTCAACTAAGTGACCAGTCACAAGTCGAGGATTTCCTGTTATACTTCAACCTTTCTCCATGGAGCCATCTTTTCACAAAAAAGTGTGCGCTTAGATGTTCATGCACCTTGCATAGCAAAATCAGAATAAATAGCTAAGAACATAGAATGTTCTGAAATCAACGTGCCCACCTCTGAACTTTATAGTTACCCAAAAGCTCTCTTATAGAGAGCAAAAAAGACTGCAAATACCTCGTTTACAGTCATTGGATTAGAACTGGCTACTGAAAATCTCAGCCACTTTCTTGGCGAGTCTGAATCCAACCAACTTAAACCAACTTAGTCCTGCTTAAGTGGGACTCCTAGGTCTCAGCTCACCCAAATTCAAAATGGAGAAGAGACTACTACAAGAAAAGCAATCACAATGCAATGCTTGATAGCACAACATGAGTGCAAACCAATCCAATCCAAGGCCCACTCCAGAGCATAACCCAATTTCCTGGCAATAAATCATCATAAAGCTTCATAACAAGGATTTAAAAGCCTTTAGTCATATGAGAAGAACAAGCATGTTGATTCAACAGACTATGGATTTAATGGACTATGGATTTAACAGACAAATTTCAAGAAATGACAGATTTTACCCCAAAAGACAGATCCAGTGCACTGCATGGTGATTTTAGTCCAGTCAACATTCACACAATTTGCACTCATGATATTTATGCGCAAAATTCTATCCCCCATTTATTAAACATTCCTCTCCATTGACATTCTTCCGGTCGTCTTAGTACATTAAATCAGGGACTTGGGTTTGCAAAGGCCTTCAACTCAAAGCAAGAATGAATTTTGACGTTCTATAAAACAGTGGTCCCAACCTTTTTTATGCCGTGGCCCAGTACCGGCATCAGCTGGGCGCCATCTTGTTTTGATGAAAAAGTGCTTCCGGTGAGCTTTCTACCCGGAAAAGCTCACCGGAAACACTTTTTCATCAAAACAAGATGGCGGCGCCCAGCAAACCAGCGGCCCGGTAGGATTTGTTCCACGGACCGGTGGTTGGGGACCCCTGCTATAAAATACTGACCTGGATGGTGCGGGATGACTTCTCCAGAGTACTCAGCACTTCCACAGGAGCTGTTACTGGAGGTGGAACCCAACCGTCCTGCAGGAGAAGACAAAGCACCAGATTAGCCACCATATTGCTACAGGTAGTCTTCAAATTACAGCCACCATTGACCCCAACATTTCTGTTGCTATGCAAGATAATTGTAAAGTGAGTTTTGTCCCATTTTATTCCCCTCTCAGGGGACTTCCAGTAAGCAAAGCCAACAGAAGCCAGATTCACTTAACCACCATGGCAAAGAAATAAAAAAACACCAGATGCAACTCACTGACTGCATTGCTTAGCGACGGAAGGTCCAGTCTCAACTGTGGTTGTAAATTGAGGATTATCTGTACTCAGAAATAAACAATATCCAAAGCCTTTTTCATAGACATTCATTGGGGTCACACTAAGGCTTTAAACTGTAATTGCTTAGACCAGGGATGTCCAATCTTGGCAACTTTAAGACCTGTGGACTTCAACTCCCAGAATTCACCAGCCAGTCCACAAATCTCAAAGTTGCCAAGGTTAGATTCCTCTGCTTGATGCTCATCTTGCGTAATGATTAAATGAAATGCATCAGGTGTGTTATCAATACCATTTTTCAAAAAGGTTGCAATGAAGGGAAGAGATGTTTGGGGTTGAAAGAAGAGACCCAGAAAATCTTCCCAAAACTAACAGCCTGTAGCTTTAAAACCCCATAACTCAGAGCATATCCCGGTGATGGCGAATCTATGGCACGTGTGCCACAGGTGGCACGCAGAGCCGTTTGTGCCGGCACGTGCACCTCAGGCAAACTTACCTCACTGTGCCTGCATGCGCCTCACAGCTGATTTTCAGCCTGTTTGAGGCCTTTTTCGGCCTCCCAGAGGCTTGAGGAAAGCCTCTGCAGCCCGAAAAATAGTCCCGTTTCATCACTTCCTGTATTTCCGGAAATACCGGAAGTGACGAAACGGGTCTATTTTTCGGGCTGCAGAGGTTTTCCTCAAGCCTCTGGGAGGCCGAAAATGTGGAGGGGGCGTGGGGCCCCCCGCATTGCCTTCTGGATGCTGGCACATGAGTGCACACACAATTTTTGGCACAGGAGCCCACAAAAAGGTTAGCCTCAACTGGCATATCCCATCTTCCCACACAAATGCTCCAAAGATGACAACACAATCCTTTGCAAACAATGCAGCGCACCTCCCATACTGCCAAGTTTCGCACTAGACCAATGAACTTTACCTTAGTGCCTTTGTGTCCCAAAACTCCACCCAGGGTAGAAAAATAAACAGTGAAGGATTGCAAGAACTTGGACAGAGTTTCAGGCAACCCCCGTTCCGATAAGCCTTCAGGTCAGGGAACAGGAGGTGAAGGATTTTTATGTGACCAGTGAAGTCTTAAATTAATCCGATTCAACGGCCAAAATGGAGATCAGCCATGCCAAACGGAGAGAAGCTTCAAAACTTGTTGGATCACTTATTACTAGGAAACGCATGACTTCTTTCTTTGTAAACAAAGTAAGGAAAGAAGCTTGTTTTGGAGTTTTTTTTTTTTTTTTTAGTGCCTTCACTGAGTTGTGACGACTATTTGACCAAAGTTCTGCAATTTTCTTGGCAAGATTTCAGAAGTGGTTTGCCATTGCTTCATTCCTAAGGCAGAGAGGAGGACTGGCTCAAAGTCACCCGACTGGCTTTCAAGCATATGGCAGGACTAGAACTCCCAGTCTCCTAGCGACTGGCCCAAAATCACCCAGCTGGCTTTCATGGCTAAGGCAGGACTAGAACTCCCAGTCTCCTGGTGATTGGCCCAAAGTCACTCAGCCTGCTTTCATGGCTAGGAGGGGACTAGAACTCCCAGTCTCCTGGTGATT